TGACGTTTAGCGATTTAAACGTTTGTCTGTGATCATCGCGACGCATCTATAATCTACACGCGTCTCTCTCTCTCTCTCTCTCTCTCTCTCTTTTTTTTCTCTCTCCTGTCTCTGCCTCCTCTCTTCCTCGCTCTCACATTCTCTATTTCTTCGGGGGCACCCTGTGCATGCGCAGCGCACGCACGGCGACCAAGAAACGCAGCTGCTGCCTCGTCGACTGGAGGTGAATCCCCCGTGTGCAGCGTGGCAAACGCAGGATTCCCTTCCCTCCCCGTCCATCCCCTTTTCGTCGTTCACCTCCTTTTTCGTCGGTCGGCGTTCTCTACGGCCGGTGTGCCGGCGCTATCGCCGGTGCAAATCAGGACCCAGGTCTATCCGTAATGGGAGTAGCGTTTTAGTCGTATTCGAGCGGCCCGCCAGACTCCCTCCGGATGGAAATGGAAGTCAAATCACTGGGGCCGTGGGTGCACCACCTAGCGAACGGCCGGTCTCGCCCCGAGTGAATGACCACCGAATCTATATGCTTATCTCTCCGCGGTCGTGTATTATAAAACGATGTGGAATCGATCTGCAGGATGGGTTCTGAAACGTTCGAAACGCTTCTTCACGGTATCGTCGCTTCTCAATGATGTCCAATAAACGATATATATATATATAGTAATTACCGTGAACAATAAAGCTGACAATTTGCGCTCTCACATTTTTTGCGATAAATAATCAAGAGGCTTCTCCTTTAAATACTTCTTTCTTCTTTAAATATCGATATTATCTAATTAACGTTCAAGCTTGATCTTCGAAAAATACACCTGTGGCAGATTTCTCACGTATGTTAATCACCGGCGCTCGATTCATTTCGTAGAATCGTCCTCGAAGAAACGAACGCCTAATCGTTACCGAGCGATGTATATGTTTAAAATTCCAGAAAGAATCTCGAGTTCTGCCGGACGAGCGTTAATTGCTCCGCGTTCATGCGTTTCTCACCGTCAGCTCCCCATTCCGGTGGAGGAAAATAAGCGCGGCGCCTACAAATTTGCTGCAAAACGTTTCTCTCCCCGTCCTTTCTCGCCGTTTTTCAAAAATCTCCTGGTGTGCCGCTCGCCCGTTTACCGAGGGTGCCAGCGACAAAAACCGTTCGGGGCTCCGTGAGATACTCCGGCCGTCAGCGTCATTCCATGCGCTATGGTGCCGGCAATTCGGGGGTCCGCGGGAAGGCAAGGGGGATGGTCTGGTTCTCTCGCGACCGTTGGCGTGATACCCTTTTTCGACAACGACCATCCTCGAACGGCCTCGACTCGGTATCACACGCTTCTCTCCGCGTCCCCCCCCTCCCCTCTCCCCGTCGATGCTCCTTACCTACCCCCCAATCGCGCTACGCGCAGACCCAGGGTTCGGTGTAAGTGCGAATTCCTTCTTTTTCTCTCGTTTCCTTTCGTTGGGCGGACGTGATTACTGGGAGGCCGAGAAGTTCTAAGCTGCTGCCCGTTCCTCCTCGGAGCACGGACATCTTTGCGGAGGAGGAGGAGGAGGAGGAGGAAGAGAAGGAAGAGGCGAAGAAGGAGAAGAAGAAGATGGAGAGGAAGAGAGAAGAGTTGTTGTGATGCTGCATGGGGAGAAAGAGCGAAAAGGATGGTTTGGGTAGGACGACGGCGGAACGGGAAGGGGTGAAGGGGAGGGTCGGGTGAGGAGCAGCAGCGATCGGCGGAGGGACGGGGGTGTACAAGAGCAGAGGTTACTTTTAATGTCTCGCGTCACGCAGCCCAAGGCACCGTGAGCCTCGCCTCGTCCTCCTTACTAATTTGGCGCCAATTTCCAGGCAACCTCCCGAGCAAAAACTAACCGAACCATATACCGCTCTCTTCTACTCCCCTCCACCCCTCTCTCTCCCCCCCGCAGTATACGTACACGTGTACCGTGCACTTCGACGCGAGGCTCTGATTAAATGCTACTCCGCCGCGTTCGGAGTCGTTCCTTCTTCCTCCTTTCTTCCTCTCGCGGCCTTTCCTCTTCTTCCCTCGACGGTCCCCCTTTCTCTCTCTCTCTCTCTCTCTCTCCCTCTCTCCCCCTGTCTCTCGACGGCGCGGTTTCCCACACTGTGCGGACGATGTGATACGAGACGGCGGTTGCTCGTCGCGCAGCACGTGTGCGTGCCGGCCACGGAACGACCGGCGCGTATATATATACACGGCGGATGATGCTCCTTTGGCTCCGTGCCGCTTTCCGCCTCGGATCACCATTTTTCTCCGCCGCCCTCACGGGGCGCGCGCCTCCCCCGGGAGTCGTTGCGCGAGATCGCGAGACTAAATGTTAAGGCACGAACGCCCGGCGCTGGGCGTTCACGCTTACGTGGCCTATACGCGTATACTTCTATACGGGAGTATCTCAACTCAATCGGGCGATGCGGTATTTAATCCTCGACCGCCATGAAAAAGCTGTATTATACGATAAGATAGACTGCGCCCGACTGACGGACATTACTCTTGGAATTCCAGGCTCAACAATGATTTCCTCAGCATGATTTCCTCGCCGATTCGATTTTTGTACTTCAACGTACTTGGACGTACAATACAATTCTCTTTTCTATATCAAATTGTGTGTGCGCGCACGCGCGTGGAGAATTTTTATTCGCAGCATTCTTCCTCGAGATAATTTCCTCGTGAAAAATGATAACTGACTGAAGCATCGCACGGCAGTAAGTAAGAAAAGCGTGAGCCGATCGGAGTCACTCATGCAAGCCGTCAGTTTACAAATCAAAGTGCATAATGCACCCGGCTTTCAGGTTCCCACGCGAGTCCGGTGTAAGCGACGCCGGAAAGACGACGCCGCTCGTTGTTCACGAGCACGCTCGTCGATAATGCCGATCGGTATACGCGCGGCCGGTGGGTTATGCAAATACAAATCTCAGCGGGCGTCACTTTAATGGCGAGGCGACGGCGTACGGGCAGCGTGGCGTACGACGCCGCGGACGAAGCGAAGGCAGATCCCTTCGGCCGTGGATACGCGAGGATACGAAATCAGGCAGTCTCAAGGTAGGCAGTCAGTCAGTCAGTCAGACTGCCGGTCAGGGAGGGCAGTCAGGACCAGGTCGGTGGAGAGAAGAAAAGAGAGAGAGGAGAAAGAGAGAGAAAGAAAGAGAATGGAGAACGCGCTTGGCAGGCATCCACGGGCAGTATATCACGTGGCAAGGATAAGTTTTTGATCGGGCCTCGCTATACGGATGACTCCCTGCTGGTTGACCTCATCACGCCACGCTATGGGGGTCTTTATAAACCACCATCGACTGCGCGTATCCTAATCACCTTTTGTCTTAAGCCTGCCAAATTCTTTCTTCGAGAGAGGGAGAGAGATAGACAGAGAAACCAGCGCGCTGACCCCTCTGTCGATATCCGTCGCCACCAACGAATGTAAACCAGAAGAAATTGCATGAAAACACGATCACTCGATGCGAACGACTGTGAGCGAATTTGTAACGTAAATTTTTTTAAAATTAAAAATAAAGAGAAAAGAAATTGAAATATAGAGAAGAAGAAATTTAAGCTAAAAAAATTATCGGTTTCAATAGACATATACATATATTTCATACAGTCACCGAAAATAAATTGCGATAACGTAACTCCAAATCACCATTATTTTTAGAAGTAAATTATTTTTAAATAAATTTTTGAAACTAAAATTACTCAAATATAGATATCGTCAAATGTTGCATATAAATTTTAATCTGTCTTAATAAATTAGGCTTATCTAATTCATTTTAAAACTACGTACTTGATTCTCCAGACGTTTGTATAGGCTTCCCCTAAAAAAAAAGAGAGATTTTAATTGCTTACATCCTTTCGCGCCTCAGGTGCAGGTTTATTGAGCTGAATCGATAAAGTGTGAGTGTCTTGTTTCAATGGGGGCTGAATCCATCTTCCGTCAGGATATTTTAAAGTACAGTTATACAATAAACATGAAGGATGTTGCAGGAGAATAGTTGTCACTGGTTGAATTAAGCAGAGACAATGGAGGCGCAACAGTTAAACAGGTAATTCTCTGTTGCAACGTTCCTCGCACCGTCGTTAGTTGACGGAATGAATGGACATCATATTTTCCGTCGCTTTTAAATGACATTGTCTGCTACCGGCGCATATGTTGCGTGGATGCAGACCTTTCGTTAATTTTTCATGAAATCTTTCATTATCATGACATAATACTGTTGAAGCTATTGCCTTGTTCCTGCGCTTCGATAAACGCGTTAATCGTATTACACATTTTACATAATTTGAGAAGACGAGCTTTTTAATGTGGGGGGGATTATTATTGAATGCAACATTCAGCATTTACAGATGACTGACACGCGACGTCAAGCGCGGCGTTGTCTGATCTGGATTTACTTTTTCGATATGAGAAAAAAAAGGGGGATTCAATCCCCAGCGTAGCGTGGAATTTTCGGTTTTTATGTTGTTACCTTCACAATGGAGAACAATGGAAACTTTTAACTCCATAGGAAATTAGTCTCGAACATTGCCGAAGGCATAAGAAGTTTGCCTCGTTCGGATGCAGCGGCGATGAATAGCGCGTTTTGAAAAATTGGATAAAAATAACGATTATTAATAATTACTGATTGTAGTATATACTTTTTTTATATTTACTTAAACCACAACGTTAAATGCAATTTTTGTGAACTCATAATCATTTTTAAATTAAAGAAGAACAAAAAGAGAGTTAAATTCAATTTAAATTTAGATTTACAATTTTCATGTTAATTGCGTAATCTGTTATTTATCTTTTAATCTTATCGACACATAAAAATAATTGCAAAATTGTCAAGTGAACAAATCAATTACTGTGACATTGCCATTTAAAAATTCATAATATCATTCAATCTGTTTGTGACTTGTTTCTCTTTTTGGCTCTTGTCAAAGTGGTCATACGTTCATTTAGGTTATTATTTATAATCAACTGACGATTCTATCAGCTTAGTGTCATAATAGTTATAAGTAGTAGTATCAATATAGTTGCAGAAGATACGATGGATCAAGTTACGAGTTATTCGCCCTGCTGGGTCCGCGGCGGCAGGCTCGAGGAAATAGTTTGGATCGGCAGGGACGTGCTCGCCTGGTGCACCGGCCTGTACATCGTGTTCTTTCACGTCGTCAAGAAGCAGCAAACGCTACATTGGTGTTGGAACGATGCGACCGGCGACGGTGCTCGCTGCATATCCGGTCACGTGTCCGCGCCGATCTTCGCCTTCTCCGAGAGATCGCTGAAGCCGCGTATCCTCGTCCTCGAGTATCCCTCGATGACGAGAGTCTGCGAGTGCGTCGGCGGTTGCGACAGCGGCTACTTGGCGACCGCGTTCACGCCGGACAATTATCTCGTGTCGCTAGGCTCCCACCCGAACTTCCCGATGATCGTGTGGTGCTGGAGAACGGGGAAGAAGATCGCGACGGTCAACACGTCTATACGCGACGGGGTTGGTCAGACAATCAGGATAACGCTTATGGGACGCACCGTCATCGGTCAAATGGGAAAGACCTGCGGAAAGTTGCTCACCTGGGAGCTCGACGTCGTCGATAAAATTATTATCTTAAAAGGCACGTCATTTCGCTTTACTTTCCGAGGCAATTTTAAAATCCGGCTCTTTAATAATACTGCATACATTAGCATAGTCAAAGATTCTAAAATGAGTAAAATATTTTCATTATCGAAGATCACGAGGTGAAACTGCCAGGAGACGCTGTAATTCGCGGGATCGATTGGTGCCCGACCAATCGGTCGCCGAACGACCCGCTGTTGGCCATAACCGACGCGGACGGTCACGTGTATCTGAGCAACTACGACGGCACCAACGTTCTCCGCGTCGTTTTCTCGCAACGTTGCGGAATCTGCGTGGACATCGAGGCGCCGATCGTGCACTGGTTTCGCGACGGTATCATCCTCAAGACGACCTTCTGTCAGATTCGTTACTTCAAGAAAGAGCCGACGACTGACGTCTGGCGCAAGCAATGGTACGTCAAGTCGACCCACAAACCCCACATCCTGGTCGCGCATCCCTCTAAAAATTGGCTCTTCTACTACACTCTCGAGGGCTACCTGATGCAGATGGTGTTCCCCGAGGATGAAAGCGCGCGCGTGATGCCGTCGGTTCATAGGTATCTGCATCACGGCGGTAAATACCGCTTTGTCGACTTCTTGTATCCTTGGTGCCATCATCTCGTGGCGACAGATGATCTCAAGGAATTGACAATCTTCGAGAGCTACAGCGGCAGCGAGATCGCCAGAGTGGAGCTCGATATAGAAGGCAGTATATCGGCTCAAGCCTCGCATCCGGATGATCCGCTGATTGTCGTTGTTAGTGATCACGGTGAGATGATAATTCTGGGTGTCACCGATCCAGAGCAACCAACGATACTGGCGTACTTTCGTCTCCAGATGAAACTCTTGGATCTCATAAAATTTTCCCACTCCGGCAAGTGAGTCTGATAACGATGTAATTCACATATCGGTTTCTTAAAATTTACAGTCACATTAAACTGTTAATATAATAATCGTTGATGACAACATTAATTCGTAGCTCAAAGCAATCACATATAATTTTAAAACAATTCTAATTTCGTATCTTTAAAAAATTGACAAATATATTAATTAATTATAACAAATTACAAAAAGTGCTACTGTTAAACGCGATATTAATACAAATGAAAATATTGAAAGATTTGTAGCTATCTACTTTCTGACTCGAGTATAACAGAGTCTGAAACACGAATTCCGTGTCGGCATCGTTCATTACATTTTAAATACAGTTCTCTATTATGTGAGCATTGATTTTCCACTCCATAAGGAGCGGCCGATACTGCTCCTCTAAATGCACTTTCACCGAACGTATTTAGTCATGAGCAAGACGTTATTTCGAGGATTATATTGTACATCTCTCGGTGGATTTACGTTGCTGCCAGATTTTTGATCGTCGCGCAGAAGGAGACAGGCAATTGCTATTGCGTGAACCTGCGACGCGACACGCCGTGGCAGGTGATGGCCCAGGTGCAGGTGAAGGGTCGTTTCGCCGACGTGATGCTGTACGACGACGAGACGCGCGGCAGCCTGAAGGTGCTCGTGCTTTACGCCAGGTACGAGCCGTTTCGCTCGGTGGGTCAGCAGTTGCTTGTGTACGACGTGCCATACCTCCTCACCGGCGCGGATCATCGTCTAATCACCGAGACCGTCAACGACGTAACGCTGCCCGCGCTCTTTTACGAATTGTGTCACGCGCCTGACGATCCTTGGCTGCTAATCGGCTCGCCTTATCTCGAACGGCAATTGTACACGCTGAAGCTGCGACGCAACTTCGAGGGCGCGACCTTAACGGAAGCGGCGCCGACGGGCCATCACGTGCGGCTCGCTCGCGTCTTCGCCGATCATCATTGGATCGTCACGTGCGCCTACGACGGATTGGTCGTTATTCGCGACAGAACGATACGGCAGATCGTCGACGCGGTGCCGGTGCATCACAGACTCGACTCGGGTAGCCGAAAGATCGTCGTTAATCCCGACGGTGATACGGTGGTCGCCCTCGGCCATGACGGTTCTTTAGTCGCGACACGCATTCGTCATGAGAGTGAAAAAGTGTGTATTAACAATCGTGTGATTTTTTTATTTTCTCTTAAAGGACGGCGTTCGATTTTATTCATTCTTAAGAAAAAAATGGTGACAATTCTTGTCTTTAGTACAGGAGAGTAAACCGTCACTGGCCGTTACTGAAACCAAAAGTGTCTACCCAGTGGATTATGAATGGTATGAAAAGCGAAAGGAAAATATACTCTTGGATTACGCTTCTCTGGACCAGGCGATCCGTGCCTCGTTGACCCGAGCCAGAACAGATTTCCCGGCTGCCGGTGAGAAAGAATTTGCTACCTGGGAAGAATGGCAGCAAAACGTGCAGCTGCAAGAAGAAGCGAGATTCTACGCCAAGGAGAAGGCCGCCATTACGAAGAATCTGGAGGCCTTGAAGACCACCGTCAGACAGCTCCTCGACGCCAACGAGACCTGTTCGGAGATGGAGAGGTTGCCGGTGTCCGCGTTCGACCTGAATAGAGCAGGCCGCGAGCAAAAGCTGAAGACGGCCAGGGACGAGCGTGAAGACGCCCGCATGGAGCTCGAACATATCTGCACCTCGATGGAGCGCGTAGTCGGCTGGATGAAGGCGGCCTTCTGGGACCCGCAGGTCGTGTTGGGTCGCTCGATATTCTCCTTCCGCGATGACACGGAGGTGACGAATTATCCGCTGATGAAGGAGGATCCGTACTTCAAGGAGCACCTGCGATGGGCGCAGTTCTCCAAGGACTCGGTGCGCAGCACCGTTTGCGACACCTTCCAGCCGTGGCACAGCTACACGGACGATCAGCTGCATGCGGAGCTGAGTAAATCCGTCCGGGTGTATCGCGAGGAAGAGAGGCGCAGGATGGACCTGCTTCTGAAAGAGGAAGGGCGCGAGATCGATCCTGAGGAACTAGCGAAGCTGCGGGCGGTCGATGGTAAGATAATAACTTTCTGTTTCTCTTTCAATGTGCATGTATGTGCGGATCTCGGAGCATTGCGCTTAAATTTCTTAGCTTCCGACAAACGGTAATAATACTTTCTTGTCATTCTTTGCGAAAGATCGGTATTTTGTATGTCCTCAAAGATTTTTTAATAATGTACTTTATATTAAATTCTTTTTTTTGAAAAGGTTTTCTCTGAAAGAAATTTTGAAACGAGAATTTGTAATTAACAGTTTTATAAAATTTAAAAAGGTTCTCTTAAAGAAAACTCGAATAAAGAAAAAATCTAGATCAATATAATGGGCGTTTGAAATTGCTTAAAAAAAATTGATTTGCCAGAATAAAAATACGAAATCTAAATTAAACGTCAAAAAAAGGAGAGTTAAGAATTCCAGTTTTACTCTGTATGAAGCTGCGATACTTGGGATTTCCGACTTTGCTCGATTAAACCTCGCTAATCGTCTGGTGCTTGTCCGCAGGCATGACAACGCATCGGTTCGTCGAGCAATCGCCTTACTATTACTCGCAGATGGAGTCTTACGGGTTCGCGCACGTGATGCTGGACAATTGTTATCTGATGCACGACTACAGTAAGCTCTATGCCTACTTCAATGGGCTCTTCGACGACATGTACGCGACGAAGGAGCGAGAAGCGAACGTGATACGAGAGAGGAACGAGCGGATACGTCATATAGACTCCGAGCTGAGGATAATGTTCGGTCAGAGCGTGCCGGAGGTTCCTGTTGATCCGCAGTGGCATCCCAAGGTAAACACGAGGTACAAGCACCGCCTCTACCGGGTGTCTAAAAAAGCCGCGGCCTTATAACTGAATTATTACAAGAGAAACGTGAGTCGATGTTCTTGCGAACATTAAATTAGAGGAATTAAAATAACTTTCCTCGTGGAAAAATACAACGTGCCAACATTAAAGCTAGTCGTAAAAGATACTCAAATTATATTTGTAATTGATTACAGACAAGTGCATAGTAATTTTCTATGAAAATCTAGATTTTATAAAATAATAAATTCTTTTTCAAGTGATCAAACAGATGCTATGACAAAATTTGTAGTATACATTGAGATTCAATTTTCAAAATTAATTCTCTTTTATAAACCTTCCTGTGCACGATGTTGCAATTACGAGTAATTGTTAACATTAGCGATTAAATATCGATAACGTAAATACGATATCGATTAGGAGAAAGTAGAGAGCATTATTCAAGTGCTCCACGACGAGGTCAAGGCGAAGCCGTACGTGTCGCCGTCGCAGCAGGACATCCTGGATAGGCAAAAAGCGGAAGCCGAACAAATCAGAAAATTGTTATTGGCCGACGATTTTCGCGAGCGCGCCCTGATGAAGATGATGGACGGTATGCTGGAGATTCGTTGGGAGGACACCATCAAGATAGACGTGCGCAAGCCTCTGTGCATGCTGGAGAAACAGCCGGAACAGTATACGTCTGACGATATCCTCGTCGTAAAGAAGTACGAAGCGGATGTGGAGACTCTTCGGCAGGAACGTGAGCGTTACAGGAGGATGCTCGAGGCTGATTACGCGAAGATCAACGGACTTCTGCAGGAAGGCATCGACAAGTTCGACGCCAAGTTGGATGAATTATTTCAGGTCTTCCATCAGTCGAGATTCTAACTTTTTATTATCATATTGTTTACCCAAGAATTGAATTAATTTTTTCTTTTTTAATTTTTTTATTTTAAAATTGCAATATTAATATAATACATAATTTATATAATATTTTATAATTATATTTTTTTTTATTTTAACATGATACAGCTAAATTTGTCAGACTCTTTAGAATAACGTTTACTTGGTAGCTAAAGCTAAGAGTCGAAGCGGCGATGAATCAACTGAAGCTACGGTACATTCGCGGCTGTTTGCGTAACCTCGCGCGAATCGAGGCTGTAAAAGAGGACGATAGGGTGAAACAAGAGATATCCAAGAAGCGCCGATATGAAAACACGCTGGAGGAACACGCGCAGAAGCTGCACGCCGTCTATCAGGATATGCTCACGCAACACGACGCGCTCTGCACTCGTGAGAAGACGTTGGTGAAGAAGTTCCAGCATGAATTTGCCGCATTGTCGAGGGTCAACGTCGAGCTCCTCGAGCGGCAGTACAAGCGAAGACCGAAGGTATCCTTGAAGAACTCCATTGCCATCAGCGATCTGTTCAATCTCGCGAAGTATCTTGTGGACCGTATCGAGCCGGCTTACTTCCCGGCCGAATGCGCGGATTACTCGAAGATCTTGGACGGTCTGGACGCACGACCCACCGGACTGCCGCAGCAGATCGACTCGAGTCACTGGGACCACCTGACGCAATTGCGCCGCCAAAAGATCAACGTCGAGCTGAAGATCAGGGCTCGGCAACTGGAGATAGCCGCGGCAGAGCGTACGATCGCCGTGTTCGAGAGTAAAATCAACGCGTGTAAGTCGAGCGTGGCTCTCTTCAAGGATCGGTTCAGGACAACGAGGGACGAACGGATAACGTGCGAGCAGGACGCGGAGGTGCAGCTAGTGCTGAAGAGGGGCCAAGTCGAGCTCGAGCTGCGCGGCGAACGGCGCGACGCGGCGGATGCTGTTTTGGTGCCGCGCGAGGAGATCGAGAGGGTCAACGAGCACATCCGTGTCGCGGGTGCGCGCAAGCTGAACGCACTGAAGCGCACGATCGACTTCCGCCACGGGATGCTGTCGATCGAGTGGGAGCATCGTTGCCTGAGAACGCGCTTCAAGGAGCTGGAGGAGGATCTGCATTTCATAAGGGACGTCACGGCCACCCGGGACATGCGAACCTACCTGAAGAGAAAGACGAAGGGGCTGCGCGACGATAAAACTGCGGTACATCTCGAGAGGGAGATCGATACCGCGAGAAAATCTCTGGATAAAACTTTGTCCAAGGAGATGAATAAACTCGAGAAACTTCGGCAGAGGATCACCAGCATAAAGAGAAAAAACGCCGAACTCGATCGGACGATCACCGAGATGAATGTGGCGAGGTGGGAATTGGAGTATCAGCGCGACGTTATCGGAGAGATAAGGCAATACGAGCATATGGACTGGCAGATGCGTCTCTTCAGGCAGCGATCCGACCTAATCAGGAAGCTCCAGGACAATTACGCTGAGCTCTTGACGTTGCAGACTGAGCATGAGTTGTTGCGGCTACGAACGTATCCCACATTGTATTTCCGGACGTTGGACAATAAGGACGAAGTGTGCCAATAATCAATCGATCATATTTAAATGTAAGAATTATAAAATTATTATTTAGTATAAGAATCATAATTTTATTATTTTTGAAGAGAAAATGATAGAATTTAATTTGGATGTGGCAATTTTGCAGAAAAGAAAAACTATTTTTGGGGTTTAATTATTTCTCTTTTAACTGGTTTTTTTTGGTTCTTTACATTAATTTTGTTAAAAATAATATATTATTTCTCAATGAAGACGAGCGGTAGAGGGGAAGATAAGATGCCTGAAACAAATCCTCCGGCAACAGTCACGTTTGGGTTCGTTAGATACACGTCACACATTATCTTAATCTCCGTCGAGTAATTTAATTAAGTTTATAGATAATCGCGACCCCGACGAAACTACACGCGCGCCAATAACGGAGCTGTGCCACGCCTGTATTTTTCGCGCTTATAAACTTAGCGTAATCTCGCGATCGCTAATTTCGCAATCACGGGGCGGCGGGGCCGGGGCCCACCTCTAAACTCCGCTAAATCACGATCAACGTGGCGGCGGGATTTTAATCGGCGACGTTTCACTACGATCTCGGCAAAGGACAAGCGGCAATTTACGCCGCCGGCATAAATCACCCGGCGACCCGATCTCGATACATAATGGGTGCCGCTCGCGGTCTAAGCTTTTTTTCACCATAAATAACAGTACTAATAGTACACCGGCGAGATGAATGATGCGGTCACGGCGACGGCGGCGGCGGCGGCGGCGGCTACGACGGCGGCGAATCATCGGGTCGCCGCAAAGTGCGCGCGTACGAATCAATTTAATCTGGGAAATTTCCAGGTGGTCCTTTCGAGAGAAAAGGAGCGAGAGGAGTAAGGAAAGTGGAGACTCATTCCGCGACGATTAGCGACGTCAGATCGGACCGCGCGGTTTTCTCGATCTTCCGCAACATTCGTCTCCAAAGTCCGCGGCCCCCCTAAAGTGGGAGCGGACCTCGTTGCCCGCCGTTTGTTGTCCGCGACACTGTAAATACTTTCGACTTAATAGCGATTTGATTTTTATTAATGGAGGCGCGCGGTGTTGCGCGCGGCCCCGCGCGCGGTATTACGCGCCTCATTCCCCGCGCGCCTTTTTTTTCCGTCCGCGACCGTGGTAGCCGCGCGCGAAGGGGAGAAAGAGCGATATCCGTGACAGTCGATCGATTAATCATCGTTCCGCCGCTGACGCGAGCACAATGCTGCCGTTGTCGTGGAGAAAGACGAAATTGGGATGCCGCTTGCACCTATCGCGACGCTTGTTGTAAGGCGTCCCGACGAGAGCAGCGGGAGTTTCACGGTAAAAACGGAGCCTTTTATTACACGCGAGTGATATTGCGCCGCCCTACGACGGTCGCTTGTTCGATCACTTGATATCTATTTTTAATCTAATATATTTTACTACTTGTATGTAGTCAGTATTTAATGCGCTAAATATTATAATATGTGAAAAAGAAACATGCCGTGCTGAGGATGATAAAATTTAAGAGAGAAACGAATTTCGCGTTGTTACAACGATGGTTGCAATCGTTTATATTTCACGTTAATGCTGCAAATAACTACATTATTATATGTGACTAATGTTGCATTAATATTTAATGCGTATACGCGATATGTTATTATATACTACACGATTCTCTTTACAAATTATTGGATTATTTCGAACAACACTTAATTGTATTATTAATCGTATTGTTTTCAGAGTGTAGCGATAAAATCCCTGACAATCGGTTTAAGCTTACGAAATAATTCTTTGCACGTGATGTTTGCCTCGCTTGCGCTCATACGGGGGATTCGCAGTTAAAATACGTTTAGCAAAATCAACGCGCGAAAGCGAAATCGCGCGTGTATACGGCCATGCTGCGGTCGAGTCGCGGATTCGCCGTTGGTTCCGCCATCCGCATCGCCGAAGAAGAACAGTCGTTATCGGGGGAGAGCCGGCCACTCCAATCAATGCAAATCAAATCGAGAGCCGCGGATACGCGTAGCGCGTAGTCAAATCAACCAGATAAAAGCTTCATGAATGTAAAGGACCTCTTCCCTCTTTCTCCTCCCCCGTCCGAATGTGAACGCGAGCCAGCCAATCTGGTAATGCGTCTTTGCCTCCTCGCCCCGGCCGTGCGCCTCTCGTTCGACGAGCAAAAAAAAGGGGGAAAGAAAATATCGGCGCGTCGCGTCACGCGAAACGTCAGGTAGTCCAGCGATGTAATAGACATCGCGCTGAATATTACACGACGTAACGTGAAACGCGAATGTGACAATACGGGATCACACAGGGGATATACAACTTGCCCACCTTGGATATTTCTGCTGTCAGTGGATCGACGCGAGTTTTTTCATTTAGAATAATTTGAAAACAGGGATCTTTCAAGTTACATTTTTTTTTATCGAGCAGACAATTTCATCACATTTTTTTCGTAATGCGTAACTTACAAGCTTATAAAAAAAAGTACTAATTTATTTCGCTCAACTTGTCAATATTAGCTCATTCTTATTAATTTTCTTCCTTTTTCATACTATTTAAGTCGTAAGTATAAATAATCGAATGTTTGCAAAAAGTAAAAGTTAGAGTTGATATTGATCTAAAGCAATTATTATTGAAGACAATGGCCGAACGAATCTTCCGTTTTATCCGAGCCGAGAACTTGGCGCTCTTCCGGGATTATACCGCGCAGCTCCGAGGCGTCGCGGGCAGATTTCCCGCAGGAATTCCCCGACTCGCGGTAACCTTTCCGACGCACAGAACGGGTGCAGTCAATGGTGTCGTAGAACGGATTGGACGAATTTTCGAGTGCAGTGAACACAAATTTGCGAATGAAGTTTACTTGGTCAAAGAGAAAAAATGTGCACGGAATGGAAATACCGTATCAGTGATCTCGACTAATTTACCCGGGTAAACAGAGTGGAAATATTTGTAACTGTAACTTTACTGATGGATATTGCACGAGAGAGAGATTGGATTCTTTTTACAATACGGTGCACGATACAGGACGATACCTATACTCTCCTCTCGGTACTGCAGTCTTTCCCTTTTGAATCCGTTGAAAATCCTAGCGCGGTCGCTGCTGTAATTTCGGAAGATGTTTCTTGCGCCTGTAAATATATTAATTATTTCATAATTAGAATATTCACGATCACAATATTTTACGCTGCTGTGTTTAGATTTCGATCTGTCTACATTTGAGTTTTTCAAATTGTAGACTATATTTCCTTTCGGAATTTTTGCTAATGATCGTAATCATCTTACCATTAACGGATTTATGGAGGCAACAACGTAATGTGGAAGTGATCATGTTTGCTGCAATCCGATGTCGAGTATCCCTTCAACAAGAATTTAAAATGTGAGTTTTCATATCAGCTAATTGTATCAATTGAAATTGGAAGAGAATTGCGTTAAATCGAATGAACAGAATAGTTCAGAGTAGTTCAGAGTATTTTTTTTTTTACTGTTTGCAAGGTTATTTAAGGCATCCAATTATCGAAATTCTTAAATCGAGAGCTATCGAATTACTCAAGTGACGTTTGTCTATGAATTTGTGGAGGAATATTGCGTTTACCACTTATTTCACCAATACGTTTACTTATCTCCCTGCTGATAATTCTCATCCAATTTGTCAGAACATCTAGGTAACTTGTCTCTCTGCCTCTCCTTCGGTATACTTGCTCTGTACTTGCATCTGTACCGCTATATTTTATTGGGTTTATTATCACAATTTATACAATCCTCATCGTTATCCTTCGCAATCTGTCGATGTTCAGGGAGGGGGATGGGTCGCCGCATCGATGCGATCTCGTCTCGACGGTAAAATCCGTCTTTCTTTTTCCTCGTCGTTCCAGAGTGCCGTATAAGGCAAGGCGATTGCGAGTACCCGCGCGCTACGGGACAGGCTTGTTGGCGCAATAAAAATTTGACACGATCGTCCACATCGCCGTGGAAGAAAAACGGTCGGGCGGGCGGGCGAACGGCGCGGCGGCGGTGGCGGCGCGGGGGGAGTTAACATCGGCTGACTTTACGACTCGCGCTACTCGCGCAAGGGCGAGAGGGACGACAGCGAAACTCGTTATTATCCGACCGTACTTCTTCGTGGCGTCCAAGAAGAAGACGGCCGCGGCGATGGCGGTGACGGCGACGGCGACGGCGGCGACGGTAGCGCGGCGATGCCGTCTTGGGTCTCTCGAGCTCTGCCGCCGCGTGGCCGATCCACGGGCCACTTTCCGACCATAAAGAGACAAAGGAGCGTTTCTTCTCTCTCACCCCGCGGAAGGCAGTAAACTCTCATTTTCGCAAAATAAAAAAGGCGCCTGTGGAAGCGCGCGCGTTCGACCGCATCAGGGAGAAATGTGGAATTCTCTCTCTTTCTCTCTCTCTCTCTCTCTCTCTCGCCTCGGAATTCCACTTCGGCGGGATTGACGCGTTACGAGAACACGCGTAGATTCTTCGAACACGCAATTTCTGTTTCATCGTTGAGTCGATAAGATGAACAGCAGCAGATCCACTCAACAGCGCGAACGATACGGATAGTAATGATAGTATTTACCACAATTTTAACGTAATTTAATTTTCTCGTATGTATTCGCATCTGTTCTTCTGAAGGATTTGTGTACCGTATTGAAATATGTTGTGAAGAGAGTGCGGTATATGAAAGAGGAGTGCGTTTGAATGATCATTCAAATGCAAAAACGCGAAGCATTTATCCTTTATCATTCCACGTACATTTTCAACGCGCGCGCGCCGCTTTCACGAGAACGCACGCATGTGTAAGACGGGAGAGTACTTTCGTTCCCATCGGTCCCACGGGTGGACTCTGCCAAGGCGTGACGTTAATCCTCCGTAAGCTGGACGTTTCTGCCGTTCCGCGCCGTGCTCCGGGCCGGCGTATTTGCGTATGCACCGAGTCGACGTGCGCGGAACGGCGGCGAATCGGCTGGGACGCGTTAACGCCACCCCTCGTCCGTTTTCGGCGGATTGGGCTGAACGATCACGACGTTCCATCGTCGTGCCCGACGGTTAACCAACCCGAAGACGATACGCGACCGAGCGATTTTCGAGCAGCAATACGAGCGTGTTCCCTTCGTTGTCCAAACAAACGTTGCCTAACAAAAAGCCGTACGCGAATCGAAGGTGTGAGCATAAATCCAGAAGGAAATTAACTGTCAACAGGGATGAACGAATCTTAAAGTAAAGACAGATTCTTAGGTTAACTTCCCATCTAAACTCTTCTCTTGGAATTATGTAAAGAGAAAGATTGATTTAAATCGATGATAATCTCATATAATGTTTCTCTCGACAAAACAAAATTAGGGGTTGACTCCTCGAGGCAAGCAGGGAGAGAGCTTTTACGTCGCTCTAAAATTTCAATTTTCTAAGTTTGGGAGTCTCGGCGCGATAACTTCCGTGGACAATCTCTCGCACCGGCGAGGGAGTTCTTTTCCCCGGGAGGGCGAGCTTTCGGCTCTCTCGGCGCCGCGTCGACCGCGCTCGGGGTCTTGAATTACGACCGGTGCTTATTACCATCTTTATTCTACTTTGTAACTTAGGCTCGAACTCTCGGAGAGAACGGGTGATGGAAGGGAGAGGGGGGGAGAAGCCCACGACGCGAGACCTATCGCCGGGCGGACTTTACGATTACGAGACTAATCTCGTTTTAATGACAGGATCCCACGTGGTCGGCGAATAATGAAGTGTCAAATCGGCTGGGCGCGGTGGGCGTTGTTTTCCACTTTGGGTCCCCGGCCAGATATATACATATATATATTATACGTGTGTGCGGAGAGGCCCAGGCCCACGGTAATGTATTCCGCGGGCAGATTTTAATTAGCAGCGGGAGGATCTCGCCCTTTACCACCAGGCCCACTGTATCATTATGTCCTGAAACTCCCCGTGCCTGGTGTTACCTGTTTCGGAAAACGTCCCGCCAGATGTTTCGCGGCCGTCACGCTCATCGTCGAATTTTACGCCGGCTTTTTGAGACGGGAACTCGAGAAAGAGAGAGATAGGGAGAGAGGCGCCGCAGCGCCCCATCTCCTTATGGCCCTCCGTGATACGTATTGTTCCCGAGCGCTTGGGAAAGCCGAAAGAAATCCGTAACATCGCGGGCGATATGAAAATTCTATAGCGTATCTAATTCCTTGGAGCGTTTAAAAATAATTCAGGCCGCTTTTACACGCGGCGTAACACGTCGTTACATGGCCGTTTTTTGGAAGTTTACTTGAATTGATACCTGGATATAATTGGTTGTTAATTAAATCCGAGAAAATAGCAAAATATTTTATGCACGCCCGGGAGGAAGATGACAAGAGAAACAAAATTGAATCAAGAAAATTGCCATTATTTTTGATGTATCTGAATTTGAGTAACAAAAAAATCTAAAGATGTATAAAATCGTTGCGTATTTTATTGTCGGACGAGATTAATCTGCGCTGAGCCAACGTAACATGGTCCCGTATACAATGACGAAGAATTTTCTTCGACAGTATACACGGCGCGAGCGGTGAGAAATGGACAAGCAGAAAGTCTTTGTAACGTCGTCGCAAGAATGTCCGCGCGCGATATTTACGATCGAGGGAGCGTATCCCCGGGCGGCGAAGCGCCGGAGAACAATGCATCTCGCGCGTACAGCATGCGATTGGCTGCACGCGACGCGTGCGGCGCGATTCTCCTTGCGCACCTCGCAAGGAAAAAATCACGTGTGCACTGCACTCGGCCGATGGCATAATGAGTTTTGCATGCCGATATACCGCAAGAGCGGATCGATCCCCGGACCGAGTTGCCGCAATGCAACTTCGGTCGCACGCCGGAGACGATCGCGCGTGCATATCAAGTTGCATGGAAATATTCCTGTGCGAGGAGCTTGATTCCACCCGTTCTCGTTCTCTCTCTCTCTCTCTCTCTCTCTCTTTCTCTTTGAGAGAAGACCCTCCGTCTGTCCTCCTTGTCTCCTTCTGCACGAGCACTAATGACCACCGCCGCGTATCAGTAATTTCGCTTTTTCGCCGATGGTAATTCCGGGCCCAAATGATCCCACTGTTTTTGACTGATGCGCGCTATTATGACGAACGAGAACGTCCACGGGACGACTCGGGTATAAGAGGGGGATACGACGGGCCGAACGGATCGCGCGCGCGCGCATGTTGTTAGTAATTAGCGTATTAGCCGTGACTCTGTGCCGAGCAGTGAGTCGACGACGTAATAATCGCGTCGCATGTGGTCGCGTAAGCTAGCCCGACGTCTCGAGGCTTAATAGTCGGCCGATTCGTTCCCGTGTGCTCGTTAGCGCGCGTTAGCTGTGCCACTCGGAATGAGAATCCGGCCGATTTATCAACTCCGCAACTTGTACACGAAAAATACGGGCCCGATTAAAAGACTCCCTTCGGCCGTGCACGACCCGAAGTTGTCAGTTGTTCGATCAATTCCAGATTGGCCTGAAAACCCAGTTAAAGGGTCACTCGGTAGGTCTGGGACAACGTGTATAATGCGTATAATTAAATCGAGATTTCCTTGGGAAGCGCCGCACGTGGGGAATGAGAGATAGCCGTGCATAATAGCGCGCTCAATTATGCCGCGGCCGTTGTCGATTTGTTCGAAGTCGAAATTTCCATTCTCAAAGTACCGTCGCGCAGACGGTGCCCGGTGCCACATTTTTTTCCAGGCAATTAGGAGCGCATCAAGCGACCGCCATAAATGCGCCCGAAACGATCGGTGCCGTAGCAACGCGCGCTTGCCGCGGTTTGTGCCCCGGAACGACTTCCCATTCAATTAGCGCGAGATTTCCAGCCACGGTCATATGCGAGTGTATACGCGTCCACGATCCTTCGAGAGAGAGAGAGAGAGAGAGAGAGAGAGAGAGAGAGAGAGAGAGAGTAAATTGTGGGCATCCACCTTCCAAATCGGATAATAATGATGCTCCGTACTGCGAGAGTATCTTATTGTTAGTACGACAGTCGTTAATACACGTTTAGTCAGAGCCGCGATTTTTCAATAATTATAGTAGCTGTGTGAGCAGAAACCTCAAGTGTTCGACATAGAAGAATTAAAGCAGCAGCTCGGGCAAATGCCAGCAATAAATCTTTCTAGAGCCAGGGATACGCGGCGTAAGATTTAACAAATTACGACACTTATAACTGATCGAGATGTACAATTTTGCGGTCGCGAGAATTATCGTTGTTGAAGAATATTCAAATCTTCCATCTTTCTTCTAATTTGTACGGAGCATAAAACGACGATAAGGGCTGCAATATATACGGCCGCAGTTCCATGGAAATATGATTATGCGAGCGAGCTCGTCCACCCGATTCACGTAGGAGCGTGCGTCACGACTCCGGAGACTGCCGGCTGCCTCGAGAAAAGGAGAAAGAGACGGACGATCTTCCACCCTCTGGGGCCCCGGCTCTGCAGCCGCCCCCTTTCTTCCCTACGCGGCCGCCTTCGCCTCTCATTCCTCCCCTCCACCCCGTTTCTCACCGCGCTTCTCGTACCGATCGTCTTCGTTTCCACGCGAAATCTCGGCCGCCATTAATTCAGCCGCGGCCGACAGGTCACTCGAGTAGAACAGCCCATTACAGATATTACGAACTCGCGTAAGTCCCTATATACTCCCTCTTCTGCTTTGCTCCCTCTCCCCCTCCCCCCTCCTCGTCTTCCTCTCTTCCATCGACTCGTATCAAATAATTATTATTGTTGTTTGCTTTGCGGCCGGCTTCGCTGCAGCACTATTCCCTCTCCCGCTCCTCGCCGCTCACGGCGGCGCCTCACGGTGCCATCAACCCCCTTCATCGCGGGTCCGTTGCACCTTACCGCGATGCGGGTCGCCGGGGTGACCGGCAATTTGTTCCTAAATTTATTACCGATGACTGATAGACCGAGCAGCGTGCGGAACGCGGCGCGCGAGCAATGCTCTCTCTCTCCTCCGTGGCTCTGCGTCGGTGATATCAAATTGGAATCGACTCTCGGGACCACTGCCCGGACGCTCGCGGCCCCTCGGACTCTTGACGCGCGCGTTGCGGAGAGAGGGGGGGGGGGACGACGGCGGAGGGGCCCCCGATAAGGGTGCGAACGGGCCCAGGCGCGGTCGTAATAAATATCGAGAGAAAGGGGGCGAAGGAGGATGCGGCCGTAAGCGAAGGAAGTCCTCGGGAAGATGCTCATCGCTTCGCCAGTCGCCCATCGGTCAAGTGGATCTAGGAAGGATTCTTCGGGGCCAATCGTACCTCTCGCCCGAAAATGTTGCACCGTGAAAATGGAATATTTTGCATTGGGATATTTTGCTTTTACTAACGTAAGTTTCACTAACAAATATTTAAGAATCTAGAAATAAGATGAAAAGTTTGCTGCGGTTGAAATACACGAATTTATTCTATTCTTTCATAAGGAGGATAGAAGGAGAGATTATAATAAAAAGATATATAGGTTTTACTCTTTCAATCCACACGCGATACAAGACGAATTTTTGAGAATAGCGATTCTCTCTCCGAATCGCCTGAACCGAGATATGTATCCCGAGATAGTTCAAATTATCCAAATCGGCGAAAAAGGGAAGAAGATAAGAGACGTCGTTGCGAGCGGCGGCAAAATAGAAAGCGCGCGAGAAACTAGGACGGTCCTGGCCGGAAATCGGCGTTTTACATAGTCAGCTAGTCCTCGGCTATCAAATTAGGGCGGTCGGTTGCACGCGTTTCACACGTGGTTCGACGAAAGCTTCGAGGACTCGCGGAGGTTCTCACGTTCGCGTGCACGTTCGCGGAGGGGCAAGGAGAGGGTGGTTTGCAAATAAGAATCACACGAGGGGAGAGCGTGGCGTCGGGCGGCGGGGGGGGAGGGAGGGGGGCCTTTGGTCTTTGGGGCCCCGTCGAAATCACCTTAAATACAGGTCACGCGTGCTTTGCCCGCTCGCTTTTTGCATCGCGGTTTTCGGTGTTCGCCTGCTGCCTGCGTACAAAAGTCATCGTTAGAGGATGCCGTCTGATATTCTCGAGCGCACGCTCGTGCTTCGTATTACGTTTGCATTGTTCTTTCGAGCAGTTAAACTGACACTTTTGTCGGCGATATCGATAGAAACTCTTCAAGAATAGAGTTCGAAAAATAAATAACTGCATTCACGAATTTTGACCGTTAAATTTTTAATCAAATCCAACTTTTGTTGTCCGTTTGAAATTTAGTTCTTAAAAGTTTCTTTATTTTCAATTCTTGATAATTACAGAATTCTTGATTTCTTAACATTTTGATTAAGATCAGAATTAGTGAATCAGAAGATGTGCATGAATCAAACGACACGGTTAAAATCTCTGGGAGATTATGTTGAGCCGCCAGTTCGGATAGAGAGAGACTCGTCGCCACGAAAGTAGCCTTGATTTCGGGAGTTCGGTAGGATGTTTGCATACTCTTTATCGGTTAACCCGCTTCCTCGTGTTCTCTTTTCGAGAAAAATTATCCCCCGGGCGGCACGTAAGCCTCCTCCCGACAGTCGGTGGGAATGACGGGAGCAACGATGCAAATTCCTAATCACTATTTTCGCATCAGCGCGCGGCTGAAAAATAAGAGCGCGCGATCGTCGGTTTCGAAGCCGGGATGAGCGTGGTGCCCGCCCTGAACCCGGCCAAATCACTCACGCGACTCTCGATCGGCAAAAGCAAGCGTTAACACGCTCCGTGCGTTTCGGGACGCACTCGCTTTTTCCCCGGCCGCTCTCATTCGACGTCCATCGATCATCGCTAATTTCGGGTATGCGGCAGCGTAGCCGAATATTCACGAGCCAGTATGCTCTTACAATGTATGTGGCTAGGAGAGGTCGCTAATTTCGTATTTTTGGCTGGCGACTGGTTTTTCGTCGTAAGAGGATGCGATATCGTTCTTTTGGTCGAATTTCACGAGATAGTACACACGCTCAGCGAAGCAAAAGTGGTTGTGACGATATCCGTTTCCTTCACGATTCTGAAAATTAATAGCAATCTTATCCGATGCGTGATAACCGCAGATATGATGGCATTCCTTTTAATTTGATTTAATTTATTCTAACTTCAGCTAATTCTAATTCTAATCGCAGCTTGTGAATCTGTAAAACGGATCTAATGTCTAGGTATAATCTTTATTTTGAACCATGACAAAACTTGACGCGCTTTGCGCATTTTTAATGTTCCTAATGCAAATCTAATCCCGACACTAATGTCATATTTGCGGTTACGGTACCTCCTCGATGATCATCAGCGCCAGTTCTCGATCACGTTACGTCAGGTTTCTGATTTGTCGATACCGCTATCCAATACATCAGACCGCAGCCGGAGAACTTAATGGTCCCGAAACATTAGTCTTGCCGAGTTTAAGAAATGCACACGACAAATCGTGAATCGTGTGCATCCCGAGAGTCTTCGTCTCTTCGACTTCTGCTCCCGATATTATAGCGACGTTTCATTGTTGCGTTCAACTATAATGTCGTGCCTCTTTCGCTTCTCCCGAAGCAGAAAATCCAACGATCTCTAAACGCCGCTTCCCCCCTCGGACGACTGTACTTCACCTGTCCTTCGATGGCGAGGTATGGACCGTTCGGCGTCTCGCCGCGAGGACGCCGTTGGTTCTTAAACCTCGAGCGGTCGCTCTCGCTCGCTCGCTCGCCCGCCGCAGCCAGAGCGGTCCGTTTCTTCGTCGGCAGGGGCAGCCATTATATAGTAGTAAATATCGTAACGACTCCTCTCTCTGCCCATCGTGCGAGAGAGCGCCAGGCCGTGCAACGGGCTAACGCGCAACGGGCTAACCACGAGTAATTATGTAATTGCCGAAGAATTACTTACCGAGCCGGTCCCGCGGCCCGTCATTCAGTGACATTCCGTCCTTTTTACGAGGGCCTGAGTGGCGGGTCGTTGTCTTCTGCAGGGACCGGGTTGTCTTCCCTCAGCCGCCTCCCCCGCTGCCCACCCCTCGCTCGGCCCGAACTCGCCCGTTTTCTCCCCGCGCGGTTCATCCCGCGTCCCGCCCCGTCATCTTCTTCTGCTCTCGCTCTCGCGTGATATCTCGACGTTGAATCCGCGCGTTGTAACCGCGGCAGCTGTTCGGCCTGTAGTTTGGATGTGTATGTGTGTGCGCGCGCGCGTGTAACTAAGCCCGCGTGGTTCCCTCGGCTTTTACACCGGCACTTTTCTAACTTCGAAACGGCGGCGACGGTAAGCAAAGCGTGAGAGTGTCCGAGAGAGCTGGGACCGGCTGCCTCGGTCACTTTTACGAGTCCGAACGGAAACGAAACGGACGCATCACACGCTCCGCGAACGCGGTCCGCCGCCACCGCGAGAGATCTCCCCAGGTAGGATTCCACCCCTTCCCCATACAAGGCTGCTCGTTCGGACTCGCGGTGCCGCGCCACGCACTTTCACGGTCTCCGCGACGGGTTATCTTCCTGCGTTTTTGCACCCTCCTCGTACTGTTCAGAGGCGATTGATTACGTTGTTACTTGACTTGTTTATCGGTGGAGGTAATATAGAGAGATGAGGAATCCTAAGAAAAATGAAAGAAAGTCAACGATGTTCAATCTGCTCGTATTTTAGCAAAGTTTTATTGCGTTATAACCGATTGATCAGAATTCTCGTTTTTTTTAATTAATTATTCTAATTTATTATAATTCTAAGAGTTAGTCTTCTCTCCCTCTCTCTTTCTCTCTCACCGACTAGTCTCACTTACAGGACATCCGTCAACGTCCGTCCGCTTTATCGCGCGAATTGAAAAGGAAGAGGCGGCAGCGCGACGTTCGATCTGCACGTAAGCGGATTTAATCGTACCTCCGCTATATATGCATGTGTGTTTATAACACTCACGAAGACTCCCACTGTCGCAGGCGGAGTTATCACTCCTCGAAGTATCGCGTTAATCTCCGTATCGCGTGCCGGAGCGCGCTTCCTCCTCGTATACGCAGGAATACTATCATCTTGCGCGAGGGTGCGCACGGGACATCGATTTGATATGCGGAAGTGCCGGCGTGCCGTCACGATATCGTCTCGCGTCTCGTTCCCTCTCGAAGGGGGAAATCGGATCCTCTTTCGCGCATGAAGCTCGAAAATCTGCAACATCGATCGTGGCTTAGCCTTTAAAGCAATTTTGTCGTAAAAATAGGAAAATATTATTTTTCTAAATAGAAGTTATCCTTCGTGGAAAATGAATCTCTCTTGAATGCTCAAGGAAAATTATCCTCCCGATCGGACAGCCATCAGGCCGATTTCTTTTCACTGTAAATCCGCAATTACGAAACACCGCGAGTGTGGCGGACGTCGCCAAGAATTGAAGTCGAAAGTAATGGGGCGTAACAACGTCGTAAAGCCGCGCCGTAATAAAGGATTACGGTAGCGCGCCTAGCACCGGCGCATAAGAATTAGCCCGACATTTGTGTCGTGCCCAAGATGGCACCGTGCTGGGGCCGCGTAAAATCGTTCCCTGAGAAGCCCGGCTGTAGAGACTTTTCAGGCACGGCACCGCGCGTCGCCGCGGCGGAGAACGCGGTGACGCAACTTTGTTCCGCGCGCGACTTGTTTTCCGCTCTTAAGGCCCTAACGGCCATTAATGGTAACAGTAATTCGCGCGCGCGCGCACTCGTCTTTATCGTTATTGCGGGATCGTTAACGCGCTCGCGCACGCACGTATACGCACGCACGCGTATACGCCGCGTGTCGTCATTACGCGGCCGTCCGGCCCGTTAACGCCGAGAATGACGTAATTAATGCTAGTCAGCGGGGCCGTAACCGCGCGCGTCTTCCGTTTTTTTCTACGCGCTCGCGACTCGTCATGCCGTTTTTTTTTTTTTCGTCGTCCTACTCACACTTGTGCGTGCGTGTGCGTATGTGCGTGCGTGCGTCCAGCCGCTGCGGATAATCGATGGACGATGGCTGCGCGATATGATGAACGTCGTGAGAGAGCTGTGAGAAAGAATGCGTGCATCCTTCTCAGGGGAAGGTCGTCATAGTTAAAAAAAGGAAAAATGACGCGTTAAGTTTTCACACCGAAGTAAATGCTCTTCATTCAGTTTACATGCGCGCATATTATCATAAAATTAAGGGGACGATATTAAATGATAAAGAGATGATATTAAAAATACAAATAGATTTACAATTGTAAAACAGTAGTAGTCTGTATCAGACTACGCATGGGAGATTAAAGATTGCAAATTAGAGATTAAAACTCCATCAAAATGAAACTAATTAAAATAATATGATTCGATTGATCATATTCTAATCTTCAATTCGCAATCTTCAATTTCTCAATGGCAGTCTGTAATACCAGATTAATATTTTCTCATACCGCTGGCATCGAATGATGGACCGTAGTTTGTCAGAATGTTTAAAAATGCAGTTATGCTTTCCACGCGGCTTTCAGAATCGCTCACATTCTCCGACGAGAATCGACGAGATTAACGGCGGCGTATCGGTATGCCAGCATGTAGTACCACTGAATGGGACGCTTCGTGACCAATCTGTCCCATTCTCGAGATGTAAAATCTTTGTCGCGGGCAACACGAAAGAGAAAGAATCCTACCGCGCGCCCATGTCGCGGCAACAAAGGATCCTTGCCCTCTGAAAGGCGCTCGAGCGTTGCGTGTCACTGCACGGCGACACCGCAAAGAGACTCTTCTTTCTCGCGTCGCGGGACGAAACGCGTCCAGAGGAACGCGAAGAGGAGAACTTGTCGCGCACGGCGACAGACAATTCGGTGTACCAGATGGCGGGCTCACGGTCGCATCGCGTGCAGTGTCACTCCAACTGACGTCTGATCGGAGGGAAGGTCGCGTCGGGGAAAAGTGTGGGGTCTTGCGGTCGTCCTGTCTGAGAATCGATCCGATCGAGATTACGTTTAAGCGACCCGCGACCGCACCGTCCTCGCTGTCCCACGTCGAGATCGAGACGTCCGGTTCCGCGGGGACGTCGAACTATCCGACGACTATAGACGTTCGACGAATATCAATCTGGCGATTGAAATGTGCACGCGTGACGTGCGAACTTGCTCACCGACAACGTTCAACGCGTTGCGATTTAATGAGTTTAAAAATAAAACACGCACAAGTTGAAGGGGATAATTTAATTCTAAGGAGAAGATAAATTCAAATTGCTCAATTAGTGCACGCCTGCGAGTTTCGACCCATTAATTCAGTGGCATCCCGTTATCCGATCGCGCATCGAAGATGACACTCGCGAAACAATCTCGGTAATTTCGTAAAATGCCATTTGCATACCGGTCGACGTGACTTTATCTAGATTTTTTCAGGTACTCGCGATGGCTATCTCGTTCACGAAGATGCGATCGCCGGCATCGAAACCTCGAGTGCGCGTCATCACGATAAGATCGCGCGCGGTGTGACGCATGATTGGCTATTAAGCGATCGGCGACATAAAATTTTATTACCGTCATCCTCGTCGCAGCCGAGGTGCGAACATGTGATCGTCATGATTTTCGATCACGCGATAAAGACAACTAGTTTGACTAATTTCGAGATCAACTGGTTCTTACACTCGTATAGAGTACACTGCAACAATATACATTTTACAGCAAAAAAATTAAATTAATAAAAAAGTACTCCTTCTCTATTTATTTGCGCTATTCTCTATAGCGATCTATAGTTTAATTTATTGATAACAATAAAGATAATTTTTTTACTACGAATTTTTTTTCATAGAAATTAACATGTCTTAAAAGTATGCACTTTACTTTCAAGAACTCGATGTATTCTATAGCGTCTTTATTCCCTCGATAAATGACAGCACTCGAGCGCTTGCCTACTTCTCTCTCTCTCTCTCGCACACATGATCGTCGTCCGCGTGATTAGGCACCGATAAGCAACCACCTTACGATCGATCGATGGCGATAAGGACGAGGATTTCCCCCGTTTTCCCTCTCGTTCCGCTCGGCGTTCCCCGGATTCGCTTGTTTGCGCGTCGTAATTCCGGCCGGATCGACCGTCGGATCGGCACGACATGTGCGGGACGCCGAAATTGCCGTGTGGCGCGATCCTTATCGGCCCGGGACGGCCGAGCAGGGCGAGATACGAGGGACCGATATTCACGGTTCGGCATGGAAGCTCGCCCGTGGCGTCTGATTAAACGGCCGAGTGGCCGCGCTCTAACCGTGTGTTTAGAACGCCGCGCCGCCCCGTTATATACATGTACGCTGCACGCGGCCGGAGCCGCGGTACCTGTTCGTACCACGGCGATTAGCTCCGTATCGCTCTTCGATTAGGGAACGGTGCGGGCACCCGACATACCCTACGCGCGCGCGGCCCCGATCGAAACGATGCGCCCGTCCGGTGCACGCGTGCCCCCCCGACGTTCGCCGCGCCGACCGGATAGCTGATGCGGATGCTAGCCGTCCCGAAAACACTGCGATTCTCGCGCAGGTGCGTCTAGGCGAAATTCGCCGGAAAAAGCGACTAACAGCAACCTTGGTCCCTCACGCTAACCGAGACCGTATCGTTACGGTCCTTGTGCGTGCGACTCGCTGATGATACATCAGGTGACCAAGAAGACCAATTTAACGGCGATCGGGCAATCGATGTATGCATTTGCAATGATTACGGGGGCCATTTCTCGGCGGGACAATAATTGCGGCGTACGACCGAATGAGGATTCTGCAGATGGTTTTTTCGAGAAAACAAAGAAACTTCAAGAGCTGCGAATCCGGTCGTTCCTGGAGCAGAGTGAGACGTAGACTCTTCATTAAAATGCGCGTTTATTTTCTCAGCGTATCCCCGACGGTGTTATTAATCATGGAAAACTTTCAACGGTTGATCGAACTCTGCGCGAAATACCTATTAAATAATCGTTTGTTTATACCCGCGAATGAACGGAGACGGGATTAATTAAATTTTTAAGCAGCCTTAAGAGATTGTATGCGCATGAAAGAATGAAAACTTATAAGTATAAGGAAAGGAATAATCAATTACACAAACTGCATTGATGTAGTTACTCGGTTAATGCGTTTCTCACGCGACCGATTAAAAGTTTTACGATCACAGAGTGTAGCTGGGTTTTATACACTCCGCTTGAATAAATAAGCAAGTAAACCGTATATGTGAGAGAGAAAAAGATATCTAACAAGAATGAAACTTTACTTGTTACTCAATCAGCTGTATTAAAACTTAACTCGCCACGTTGTGCATCTGATTCCTATATTCATTTCAACAACAGATATGCAATATAGAAAAGAAATTTCGTTTCTTTTCGATATTTTCATTTTTTATTGCTGAGCCTTGTTTGTTGTATAAATTTCATGAAACGGACTAAATTCCTCAAAGCAATCTGAGATAACAAGATTATTTGGCCGAAATTTTTGACAATTTCGATTTACGATTAACAATAATTTTATCATCCATTTCATTGATTTATTCTTTTTACTTGAGGCTTTTTATTATTTATGTGATGCAGAATGTGATTGCGGAAATGTTATCTCGATAGAATTACGCCTTGGCACCAGATTAAATTTAAACATTCAAAGCAGTGAGATTACGTTAACTGGATCCCTCGTTTCTGCCTATACTCTTTGTTTATCGGATTTCTTTGTCACGAGCGTGATCAGCCAGCCCGGAGTCCGAGACCACGCGAGAGCAATGGTGAGGCGTCCGCGCGGAGGACGCGAATGGACCGGGGGGGTAACACAGCGACGGGGGGCTACGCGGGGGGATCGATGGGCGAGTCGACGCCTAACCGAGAGGAGACCGCCTTTTCTCTCTCGCCGTTTCGTTCGTTTTGCCTTCCTTCTCCCTCTGTCCCCTCTGGCCTCCCTTTCCCTTCTCCGCGGTGCGAGAGCTCCCTGCGAGAGAGCGTGCACCTACCTCCGCCTTCCCACCCTCGTTCTCCCACGCTGCACCTGTCGTGCGCACGAGAGCGTCGAGAGAGGTGGTAGAATAAAGCTTCAGCCGGGCGAGCGCGTACTCGGTAAGGTCGAAGCCACGCTAAATCCATTTATCTCGCGTACGTCGGTGCTATACGTATACGAATAGGAAAAAGAAATAGAGAGGATGATTGGGAGTAGGAGAAAGAGAAATACAGATACATCGAAGAAGCTTTACTTTAAATTTGACTTTTTAAAGAAAAGTTTTTCTCGATGATCTTTTAAATCAATTTTGAAAGGCGCCAAAAATGAAGGAAGTGGTCCAGGAGATTCACGTGAAAAGATTGGATTAGCAATTAAAAACGGGAAAATAAAAAGTTAAAAACGTATAGTCGTTACGAGTCGTACGTTTGCAATGCAGATTATTATCTTCATCAGCTATATGAATAACTTAATTATTCAATTTAATATGATGTAATTGAATTATTATACAGTTGCAATTAATACGCATCATCTATGTCTTTTTTAAGTCTAACCTTCACGGAAATTGTAAACAATCTCAGAGCGCAGCCGTTTTTACGTCTCTGACTTCTACATCGTGATTCGCGTTTCAGAGCACCACTTGGAGATCCAGTTGAAATTCGATTTCGTGCACCGGTTATTAGTCTCCAGTCGGGACCCTAAGTTAACACGAGAATCGAAAGGTCCTAATCTAATCCCACCTGGGCGATTAAAGGCCGGGGGTCCAAACAGGGAGAGGGAGGGGGAAGGTGGGGGGCGAGCGGAGTGGCGATTCGGGTCTTCTCTCTGCGTCTTCTTGCTCCGGAGGACGAGGGGTGCCCGCGCTTGGCGTTTATGTGTAATTAAACGTCTCGTTTGGGTGGGCCCGAACACGAGACACTTCTAATTACCGTGGTCCGCTACGGTGTCGGCCTGTCGTTCCGCTTTTGCGAAGGGAATTTTAGCATGACAATGGCGAAGTTATTGGCGAAGCGGCCTGAACTGTTTTCGGGCCCCGGGTGGCCCTCCCGAAGCCGTTCTGCAAACATATAACCGTTTGTCAAGAGTTTGCGATAAGAAACATAATTAGCCGTTTTCGCGCCCGATGCAAACATTATAATTGCATTCTCCACAGTTTTTCAGCGCTGTACAATCTCTCATCCTCCGCGCGTATCGTCGCATAATTTCGTTGTAATTATTTTGAAAAAACTTTATTGGTTTATAATATAAATATATAGTCTATGATATTATTTTTCCTTTGCATTCTTCTTAATTCAAAAAATTGTACTTTGAATGAAGATTGACAGATAAGATAAATGCAAGTTCTATCAATAAATGTGAAAATAAACTGACGTCAATTGTATAGTGCTGATTAAATGTTTAAAATAATTTTCTAAGGTTTTGTTTTGTAAACATAAAATTGATAGATCACGTAGGAGTAAATAATAGATGCAAATTTAAATGAGTCGACCGCAAAGATCATTAAGACCAGGATTCCATCGTTCTATCGCGAGTGTGATTCTTCTCGGAGTCGAGATCGAAGAACAACCCTTCCGTCGGGGAGATTCCACTTCTCCGTGAGGCTCGCGGATTAGTAGGCGTGCACGTGCACGCCCGCGAGATCCTCTGATAAACGATCCGGCATCGCTGGCAAAGGAAGGATCTTCTTTCCGCGAAAACGAGGTCGACCTACGTTAGAGCGCGTGGGCGTGGTGAAGTCTCTTCTTTCTCTCTTTTTTTATTCATTTTTTGCACGCGTGGACGTATCTGTTCCCGTCGACGGCCCGAAAGCTCGAATGAAGTGCTGCCCACTCTTTCGTCAAGGCGGAAACGGAGATATAAATCTAGATCGCCCGCTCGGGCATCATATTTTTTTTTTCCACGAACCTTTTCGCGAGAATGTTCTACTCTTCAATCATAATATTAAATTTATATATATTCTATAATTAAATAATGAAGAGACGAAGCTGCATCTTATATCATTATCGACGATAGATACCTATAGCCGTTTCGGGAATGAAATAAAAGGGTGCAGAGAAAAAACGCATGTACAGCGGGGATTAATTTTGATAGGTATTTATTTTCATAATGATGAGTGTGTTCTTTATAATCGATCTATAATATACATCGTAGCATTCGGTTTATACATAATTACAATTGTAAATCTCGCTCGCTCTTAATGCGTAATAGTAGTAGGGTTTTTTTCGTCGTGTGTGTCGCGGGAGAAGAGGGAACTTCGCTCGCTCTCTCGGGAGGCGGAAATGCAAAACGTAGGATCGAAGGCTCGTAGAAAAACGCGCTCCGCGCCTGTGTGTTTTTTTTTTTAACGCGTACACATTCCCGAAGAACATTTCGTGCACGCCGCGACATCGGTGCGCACCGCCAAAAATTATATTTATATATATATATATTTATTTATTTATATTTATTTATATATGTATAGATACGAAAATAAAGTATATATGTACAACCAAATCGTCTCGTGGGAGAGGTTCGCGCTCCCGTTCGATCCCGGAATTGATTTCCGGAATCGATTTCCTTCTTCAACGTGTAACGACGGAGGCGAACCTCCGGGCGCCAATTGATTCGCCCACGTAAAAACGACAACGCGATTTTACAAGTCCTAGAGGAGGAAGTTACTCGCGGCAGTGCCCGCTACTGGCCGCTCGGGTACAGTGTATCGATGTACATGTTGTGTACATGTGCGTGTCTTCTAGAGTATGTGTCGTTGTATGCTCGTGTGTATGTGTACGCGCTTCGTGTGTGTATGGGGGTTTCTAGGGAACAATAAATAAAATCTATCTATTCTCATTTACCTAGCGCGAGACACGCCGTCGCCTTTGATTTGCTGGTCGATCCACTTGTCTATCTATATACCGAACGCCCGATCGTCCCTTCAGCCTTCGAGCTCTCGAGGGTGCTCCCTCTCCTTAAACTAAGATTGCATTTCCTTCTAGCTGCCGTCGTCGTTGTCGCGACGTTGACATACGTCGCTCTGTCTTTTCCTTCCTCTCGGCAAAGAGTGCACCGGCTCTCTCCCCCCCGTCTCACATTTACAAAACTAATCGCCGTTAACCGCGCGTCGCGTCGGACGCGCGCTGGTAGAACTTAGTCACGATATAGTTACGCATTTACACCGAAAGGTACTATGTCTGTTTATTATTATATACAGCGGTAGTAATTGGTTACTGGTTAAATAGTGGCGTTATTCGCTAACGTTACGTTATCACAACGATGATGAAATTAGCCCTTCGGGGACCGGGGACAATTCGCACCTCAGTCCGCTTTTCTAACGCTTTCCCGTCCTTCGTCCTCACCCCCTCCGACGACCCTCTCTCTCTCTCTCTCTTTTTCATCCCCTGATTATGTTAAGTTAAACCCCGACGATCAGACAGACGAAACTACATACGGCCGTCGCGAATTCAACGGTTCGCCATACCCCGTCGTCGGTTTCTCGGCGTCGCGCGCGTGGAAGAGATGATCGCACGCCACGCGATCGTGGAGATCTTCGAAGTCAGGCAGTTTAGTTTCGACCAGACAAATCTTGAACTTTTACGCCAGCCAGTGCTTATAATGCGACTCGTTATAATAGTACGAAATAGATATATGTATTAGGGACATTCGCGCGCTGCACCGTGCGCTTGTCTATAATTAAATCAAGAGGAATAAAAAATCTTACAAAATTTTTTTTTCAAAATTCAGTGTTCTCATTGAGTAAACTTCATAAATGGAATCAATTTCAATACTACTGCACAACATTACTTGTGTTCTTTTAATAAAAATAATTTTAATATATTTTTACATGACATTTCTGATCTCACATTAATTTTTTTTTAATTTAAAAAAATTGATGTGAGATTAAAATAAAAAAAAAATTATTATATTCCAATATATATTTCTTTACGATTGGAAAAAGCGTTATTTCAAAATGTCAAATAAAATTTAAATATATTTATTAAAAAATAAATTTATTGTGTATAAAAAATAAATAAATAATAAATTGTTTCTCCATTAAATGTTATAAAATATTTAAGAAAATTTAATTTTGTAATTTCAAATTACAAATTATTTAATTTTACTCAGAAAGTGAAAAAAATATTTAAATTTTGTGTGATATAATTCACGTATCACTATAAAAAACAAATATAAAAATAAAAATTCTATACAATAATCATTTGTTCCTTGTTAAAAAACTTGAAAATTATTTTATGAGATGGATCTCTTGATTAAATAATTGCTTCATTACCATTGCTATGAGTTTAAAATTTGATATGCATCGCTGAGAATTTTGCATGATATTAGTCTGATTAATCGAGCGAAATAAACCGGCAGCGATTCAGCGCGCGACTTCTACCGTCGTTTCCGACAACGCACGAAATCGAGATTTCCAAATTGACTAGATTAGCCCAACAAACTCGCGTGTTGCGTTCTGACGTATAAATCTGAGAAATGGGAAGAACTGGCAGGCAGATATTACCGCATTGGAACTGGCTCGTTCACTCCATGGGCAGGCGTTGTTCAACGGGACCGCTTCATGTCGGCCACGTTGACGGTCGATCATTCCGCACGCACTCCGCTCGATATTGCACGTTTTTACGCACCTTCGAATGGAACGTTTTGGGGCAACGGAGCGTGCCCCATTCGTGGGGAAGACCGCGTCTAGGTCTGCCGATCCTAATAAAGAAACGAGATCATCGGCGATCGATCGGCCGAATCGAATCGCCGAGTTAGGATTTTGGCATCACAGTAAGGGATAATAATTGTGTCCGCGGCCGCAGAACGAGATCGGTCACGAGCCGCTGCTGCTGGACAGGATCGGCAGGTCGCGGTGGGCCTGGGGATCCCTGGAGTGCGCATCCCGCACGGCCCGGGAACCGAAGACGCGCTCGCAGCCGGGTACAGTGCACCTAGCCTCCTCCTTGCGATCGTCCGAGCCCGGCGAGGACACGGGCGAACCCGAGACGGACGCGTGCCTGTTGCCCTGCTCCTGGGTCAGTCTCGTCAGATGATTCAGATGCTGATGGGTGAGGCCGTTTAGACCGGCCAAGTGAGACGCGAACGAGGACAGACCCGGGAACGTGGCGCCAAGATGCGGCGGTAGCAGGAGCGGGTGCGGCGGTGGTATCCGGGCCGCCAAGTCGACCGCGGACGGTAGCCCGGGTGCTAAGGGGTACGCGCCCAACGCGCCGATACTAGCGTCCGCATAGAGTCTCGCCAGGAACTCGTTGTGCAGCAGCGGATTCATCTGCGGGTCGTCGACACGCGGCGACAAGCTCGGTGGCAGGCTGGAGGAAAGCGGCGGGCTCGACGAGGTCGACAGCAGTTTCCGGTGCAAATTGAGATTCGCCGAGTGGCGATCGCGAGATCGTTTCGAGGGAAAGGCCGCGTTACAACCGTCCACACTGCAGCGGTGCATCAGTTTGAGGTGGACGTTCTGATAGTGGGTCTTGACGCCGAAGTGATTCTGAAAGACCTTGCCGCAGGCGGTGCAACGGCGCGGATTCTCACGGTCGAGCGGCACCTCCTGGGTGCTGACAAAGCCGCCGTTCTCGTAACGCGCGTACGTGATCAGGCTATTGTCCGTATCCATGGCCACTGTGGAGGGTGAGGCGCTGGATGAACGAGAGCCACGTGAGGAGTCCATGGTGATCTCCTGGTGGGTTGTGAGGCTGATAGGGCTGGTAGAGCCGCGGCCAGACCTCGAAGCCACCCGCTGCGTCTCGGTGTACGGCATCGCGCATCGACCCTGCGACAAGGACTCGAGTTGACGCAAAGTGTTGATCGAGGAGTCGTGGGAGAGGTCGTCGGCTGTCGTCGGACGGCTGTCGACCGAGCTCGGGGCACGGGGGGGATCATCGGGACGCTCACCTTCTTGATTGCGCAGCGCGTCGTCCACCTCCTCATCACCATCATCCTCCTCGACCTCCTCCATGGGCTCATCATCGTCGTCCTCCTCGTCCTCGTGGTGCACCTCGTTGTTCGTCGGCCTTCCTTCCTCCTGCGTCACCTCGGCGGGTTCCTTTTTCGCGATCGTCTCTTCTTTCGCCCTTGTTGTCTCGTCGCTTTCCGCACTCATTCGTCGATCTTTCTGCTCCGACAACGTCGCGTCGGGATCTTTTGTCGTCGTCGTCATCGTTGTCGTCGCCGTCGTCGCCCCGCTCGATGTCGTGCTCGACGACGGCGCGTTGTCGATCTTTGGTTCCGGGGTGATCTGTCGTTTCGGCGACTTGACCGAGCTCGCCCTCGAACTCAAGTCACGAGGCTCGTCCTGAGGTAGCTCCTCCGCGTTGTCTTGAGAGGAGAGGGTATCGCGTCGATTAGCCGCCGCCTCGCGCTCCCCATTGCCGGCGTCCGGAGAGCGCGAGTTCGACTCGCGATCGTGAAAGCCACCTTTTTGATTCTTCGGCGAGCCGGGGAGCATCTTTCGCTCCTCCGCCTCAAGCCTGGACATCGACATGTCTTCTGGCTGATTCTGAAATTCTGCTATTGGTGGGATAACGCCGTCCGACAGACACCGCCGTTGAATTCGCTGCTCTTCGTCGTTGGAGGAGTCGCCGTCGGTAGACGAGGAATGCACTTCCGCCGGCACAGCGCACCTCGTGGGATGTTGAGATTTTCTTTTGCGCACGCCTCGACTGTGAAAGGAACTCGAATTAAGCGAGTGTTGGTTCACGGAGAAAGGCTGCTGATCGACCGTGCCCATCGAGTCGTTGTCCTCGTTGCTGTCGGGATTACTAGCGAGGTCTTCGTCAGCGGTGTCGCCGAAATAGAGCTTCGGTCGCTTCGCCAGGCTGAAGTCGGCCGGTTGCTCGTCGTCGTCGGCGCGCAGCGGTTGCAACCTCGACGGCAGATTGCTGATTTCGTCCTCCGCGACCACGACGATACCGCCATCGTCATCATCGTCGTCTTCTTCGCCCTCCGGTATCATGATGGACGATGCCTGGGTGGACGGCGAAACTGCGCTAATGGACGCGCCGCCACCAGAATACGTGCCTCGCGCCATCGTGGTCGTTGTCGCCCCAACGCTCGACATCGGCACCGGCATCGTCGTCGACGCTGTGGTCGTCGACAGACCCGTGTTCACCGACATCCTTTGCTGCAGCGCCTCGTCGTACGATCTACCCTGGCCCGCCTGCGTGGCGGGTGACAGATCCAGATGCTTGAAGTCCAGCGCGCACAACGACGCCGGCGAGCGGAGATCTGGCGGCGGCGTAAGCAACGGAAACGGTCCGAAAGGTAGGTGATTCAGTCCAGTAGCAGGTACCGGAAGTCCCACCTGCGGTGGCAATACTAGGGCATGCGCCATGGACGAGCGGCCGTCGTGCGGGGAGATCTTGCGGCGCAGATGCGGCGAGTGTAGCTTCGGATTTGGATTCGCGCTGTGCCGGTTGCGCGATCTGCGCGAGCTGAACATCATGCTGCAGCCCTTGACGGTGCACTGATGCATCTCGCGCAGGTGCACCGCGCTGAAGTGGATCTTCAGGGCGCCCTTGTCGCAGAAGGTCTTCAGGCAGACATTGCACTGCACGCGCTTCTTGCCGGTGGTAGGATTGATAAAGGGCGTACCGAGGTTCGGGGGCAAGTTCGCGGCGGCGCCCCATTGACTGCCCGGTCGCTTACCCGGAGAGTGCGGCTTCCTGCCAGGTATACCGGGCGGCCTGCCCAACGGCGTGGCCTGGAGCGATAACGGCGGTGGATGCCGTTGCTCGGAGATGATCATGTGCTTCGACATAGCAGCGTCTCGTCTGCTGAGATTCAACGCGCTGTCGGAGTTATCCTCGTCGTCCTCGTCCTCCTCCGAGCCGAAATCGCTGCTCTTCTCACCGCCGCTGTGCACGTCCGTGGGCACGGTGAGCCCGCCGACGATGCCACCGGGCGACTTGCCCATCGGTGGCGGCGGAAAGTGCGTCGGGAAGCTCGGTGGTAGCGCTCCGGAGGAGACCGCGACCGAGAGCGGGTGACCGAAAGTCAACGCCGACGTAGAGATCGGCGCGACCGGCATGTGCGGCCTTTGCAGCTGCGACGCAGACGAGTGGTGAGGTGGACTATGGGGACTCTGCGGATTCCTCATTGACTTCCGATTTTGCAGAAGCTGCTCCGCGGACGGCGGCGGCGGCGGCAACGGCGGGAACGCCGGCAATCCGAGGGTGCCCAGCTTCCGGAAGTCGAACGGCTGCATGCTCTGCAGCCGATTCAACGGCGACACCGTCAGGTGAGAGTCTAAGGAACGCGGGGGCGAGTTTGCTCTGCTGACACCGCCGACGGGATTCGACGAGGAGTAGTGCTTCTGCGCCGATGGCGACATCGAGGGATGCGAGATCGACGACGGTGGTGGCGGCGGAGGCGGCGGCAGCGGCGGTGGCAGCCGGGAACCCGGTGGCGGTAGGCCACAGTGGAGCATATGCAACGGGGGCGGCAAGTGTGCTAGTGGCATCGTCGGTGGCGAAGGTCGTCTGCTTGGTGACATAGCATCCGCACCCGGCGTTCCGGCGGCCAGCAGCAGCTGCTGCACAAAGGGACGCGTCTCGGCGAACCTGAGGAACTGCTGCAGGACCAGCGGTTCCTCCTCAGCCGAGCAGATACTCCATCGGTCCAGCACCGGGCCGTTCTGCGAGTCCTGCGAACAGAAGACGAGAAGGATTGCCTTTATGGAGTTCGAAGAAACCATTCTGTTGACGTGTCACGACCTGTCACGTGCGTCGAGATAATGGCAGACACGCAACGACTTATTTGGAATGTTGTGTCAACAAAAAAATTATACTGATACGTAAAGATCGCTTGTAAAAAAAATAACTAACGTCAATTAGAATTATAAATTACAAATTTTTAAAAAATTTCTGAATAGAATTGTGATATAACAACGTGATAAAACAAAGGACAAAGAATTTTTCCGAGGCGATTTCCTGCGACATTCTTCGCGGCGTTCGTAAACCGCCGGCACTCACGATTACACTGTTTAGCCTATGCGGGAAATTACGTAAATGCGCAAATCACGCGGTAAAGAACACGCGATATCGTCGATCAATTCGCACAACCGCGCGCCGACGGGGGAACGTTTATCCTTATTCGACCGTAATTATACGCCGCGGTAAAAAAAAAAAAAAAAAAAAAATACGCTTCCTATATTGTCAACCGCAGAAGGTCACGCGTCCCGTTCGCGTTCCGTTACTTTTGTGAAATGGAATGCGCAAAAAACCGGCTGATAAATAAAAAGGTTTGATTGATGACGCTTAATGTAGCGGGTAATTAGTTCTGCTTCGCCTGTTAGCCAAGCGAGATTGCACTTAAACGCGTTAAGGATTTAACCTTGCATCCCGGCGGATATGTATACATACTCTCGATCTGTCTTCCTCTCTCGCCTCTACCTACTATTAACGATCCGCTTTTTGCGGATCGAGTTTTAGCGATTTGTCATTATGCCGCGCTGAAAACCTCAGCGACATGAATAATCCGATCCCGCGGCAAATCCCCATTCCAGTCAATCTCGGAATCAATTTATTTTTCGCTGGCAATTAAGATTATTCAGAGTTTAAGTTAAGGATAATGTTCATGAAAATTAAATTACGGTTAAATTGGTTGGTAATCGAAAAATTATATCTAATATTCGGTAAGGAATTAAGAAATGTATAAAGCTCTTCGTACATGCTTTGTTAGTTTTGTAAATGCTATTCATTCGATTCGTTTTGTTTCCCACTTGATAAACGTCACGGCAAACCGGATGCACTTTGTTTTTCCTTCGCGACTTTGCTCCGCGATCGTGTTAATTGGTCAAAGATCAAAATTTTCGTCCCGGTCTCTCTCGGTGAGAAACGCATCCTGCCGAGAGAAACATTAAATCTGGCGGTACGCTGCTTTCGACGTTCTCCACACACGGACGTCACATATATCGGCGTTCGTGTGGAGTCACGGCTTCTTATAAATTCAGGGTGGCCATGTATATAGGAGCGCAAGTTTGTCTCGTTCGCCTTCTCCCTCCCCCCCTCCCTCTCTCTCTCTTCGCTCTTTCTCGCCTCGCAGCTTTTGTATATTTACGCATTCCGACGGGGGCTCGACGTAACGCAGGACGCCCAGCGCCGCGACGCTTTTCGCGCTCGCGTCCCGTTGTATATTTCTTCAAGCACGCGCACGCGCCCGCCGTATATATCGCACATATACGCACACGGCCCGGGAAACGGAGAGACGTTACTCGCTAAGGCGGACACACCGCCGCACCGTGTGTGACCGCCGGCTGCCGCCGCCGCCGCCGCCGCCACTCCGGGATTCGATCGCGGGAACGACGTCGTTATTTTTCGCCCCGGGGCCAACCGCAAAAATAAAGAATGTCGAGCGATTTGCCGGCGATCGCGCCGGCAGATATAATAGGCGCTGCCACGAAGTTTTTGTTCTCCCTGATAGAATCGATTCGGCGCTGTCATGGTATTCGACTGGGCACCTCGGTCTCGCGGAGCTGTTTGCAAAGTATTCTTCTCCTTTTTTTTTTTTCATAAGGTAAACAGTATCTGTATGAATTGTACGAGAAACGATACAGTTTCGTGTATAGGTATTTTGAAATTCTGATCGATTTAACAGAAAAAGAAGATATATCCAAATTGATCGAAGAATCTGAGAAAATGAGAAGCCAGCAGTTCATAGTATCGAATAGTTACCGAGTAATTACCTCAATAAATCAAAAGGTATTTGCGAAAGATTTCAGATGGAAAGAAATAACGTGTCGACCGATAAATACAATTCGTATTTCGCTACATCATCACGCGTCTACGTGAACGAGAAAGATTTAAAAAAACGAATTCAATTTACGAGAGAGACACGCATGCACGTGCAATGAGATAAGCGAAATTAATTTTCTATAAAAATGTTAAACGACGCTCGCGCGACAAACGGTGGATCGTATTGAAACAACACACAGAGCCGTAGATAATTGAAAGCATATGGATGGAAAGAACAATGAATAACGCTCGTAACGTACCGCTACGTTGCATGGAGTGTAATTTTCCCGATTTTTATCCCCGCCGACGGTAATTCAAACCTCACGCGCGCGGCTGCGACAGCTGTGACCGTCGTGTATTATTTTCCCGTAGGAGATATCGCATAGATTATCGCCTGATGAGGCGCGAGTAATGTCACACCGTTTCTCACATCGTGTCCGCGAGCGCGCGACGACGTTTTCCTCGCGTTGCTCTCCCCGTCTCGGTCTCTCTCTCTCTCTATCTCACTCCGTCGCGCAATTTAAACATTTTTCACGCGCATTGTGATACCGCGCGCGGGAATTCGCCACGTCGTTTCTTTTACGCGCGTTATCCATCATCTCCCGTCGATCACGGGACCACGGGCGACAAAATCCGGCGTCGCAACGGTACCCCGGCTCCATTGAGAGTTACGTAAATTACCTGGCACGTAGTGCTAATTGAACGCATACGAAATGCAGGATTCCGTAATTCGATTCCGTTAGCATAATTTCGTTGTGATTCGCGAGAAACCTGTCAAACTTGATTCTCTGAGGAGATGTTTTTATTCCCCGCGCGCGCGTGCGTGAAGAGCTGATCCTCTCTCCTTCTTGCGTATCTTTGATTTTAATTAAATTTAATTCTGTTTATTGCGTACAAACGAGATTTGCATGACGGTTACGTGGGAATGAAGATAAACATGATTGAAATAAAAATACACAAATGGTGAGGCGTCAGCATGGCTACTGCGTTGTCATGCTAATTCATACGAGCTATCTAGCCCGGATAGCTCGTATGAATGAATACGTAAAAAATGGGAAAGAGAAAGAAAGAAGGTCTATCGCAATGGACGATAATTTAAACTCTAGTCGAAATTATACAACCACTATTCTTGCTTGCAAATTCATTTTTCACGTAATTATACGAGTAGATCTCGGAACTGTAGAAAAAAAGAAGAATAAAAAGATGTTGGACTTCGAGGGAATCTTAACATCACGATTTTCTATTTTACGCGTCCATCATTTCCAGCGGCTGTCGATCTCTCAAAGGCCGAGGATGCTTTTCCCATAGATCCGCTATTTCACGAAGAGGGATTCGACGGTGCCGGCGCGTCGTCGTTCTGCCACGTCCGCGCCATACATACGTGCGTGACGTTCGGGAGCAGAGGGGTAAAAGGAGGGGGGGAGGGGACTGGAAAAAAAAAGGATTCCGCGAAGCGCTTAAACGCGCGCCTCTCTCGTCCTTACGTGAAAGGACCCGGACGGATCGTGTCTGAGAACGCAAAGACTACCGTGTACCGTGGGACTCGAATTTTAATCCCGCACGCGAATGAGGCCCGACACAACACTCGACCTTCCCTCCCATCCCCTTCCCGTTTCTCTCCTTCGCCACCTCCTCCAAATTCCGCGCGGCGTGGAATTTCGCCGTTCCATGTGCTCCCGCGTGTCCGATGGGACGCGAAATGAGTGTGGGCGAGGTCGGTGTATCGTGGCGAAAAAGGAGGTCTTTCAATGAGAAAAGTGCAAAACGGAGAATCTTCATTAAGCTATCAGAATATATACTTGAGTCTAATAATTACAGTAATAATTATATTTAATAGGATTAGGATTAAAATGATAAATACTTCTTATTTAGTATAAATAGACTTAATATTACAACTAGGAAAACATTTTTTTCGACTCCTGCGCTGTCTGAAATTAATCTATTACAAATTAAAAATTATTTTATAAACAATTCCATCATTTTCTAATCCTGTCATAAAATTTCACATTTAGAAATTTTGATTTCAAACGGTGCACATCCAATTTATCGCAAGGGAAAAATCCCGTTAATAAGATTCAAGAACTTTTACTTAAAAAGTATATCTGGTTTTTAAATATCGGCAATGTGTAAAGATTCCCGTTTCCTGGCGCGTAATCACAGATTTTTAATCAAAATTCCGCGAGGTAAATACGATAATTACCGCGAGCGGAATGTACATTCGAAGCCACTTCTATTGTTTAGAAAAAGCTCAAGGGTGCCTTTAATTAAATTCGGATAGGTGTAGTTAATTTAAATAACAACGTGCGTCTCTGAGAGTGCTTCGAAACGTGCACGAAAATCGCGACGCGCGATCCTGGGAACCTTCGGTGTCTTGGCACCCGGGAATAAAGGAGGCGTTAAGAACGAGACGCGAACCATTACCGCGTTATTGCATAATGGATAATTACGAGAGCCGGAGAAGTAAGATAAACCTCGTTTTACTTGCTCGCTCATTACGTTTCCCTCAAACCTCGTGTCCCGCGCGCACAATTCGCGTAATTCTCGCGTCGTTCACGCAATTCCCTGTATATTGTTTACTCTGTATCATTAGTCGTTAATTGATAACGAGACTGTTGTTCCTGATTGTTGGGACACGTTAAAAGAGGAAGTGATTGATGGGCTGTGTACCAAAGAAATTATTTGAACGAACCAAGTTCTTCAAATGCGACCAAGTGATTATTTCGAAAAATCAGCCGCGCGATTTAAACTCTGTAAAAATTTTTCTGTTTTTTTTGCAAATTAAAAAACAATCAATTTGCAATAACGAGAATTATTTTGTTGGATATAATCGATATTCACTCGGTGAAAGAGTACGTGGCGCATCGAGCTTGAATTCGAATCGTTCCAGTTCGTGCTGCCATCTGGCTACGCG